CGTGGCCTCCCGTCGAAGATCCTTCCACCCTGTCGCAAGGCACGCAAGTCAGCGGCCGCCAGTTAAAATACATTTGGTGGAATTGTTTTTGGTGCCTAAGACAATTTGTATTACTGGTAGGAACCCACTGTTCCACCAGTCCACAGGGGATTATTGTGTCCGTCCGTGCGTCGTGCAGGGAGGGGCTGGGTGGGGAGAGAGGGGCTGGGTGGGGAGGGGCTGGGTGGGGGGTGGGATGGTGGGGAGGAGCTGGTCACCCCGTGGTGCCCTTATAAAACTCAACGTTTAACCTACTCACGCTGGCTCCCTCCGCAGGAATATGTTACAAATATTATACATGGACCTACTTACATTTTGGAATGAGTGATTTTTTTATCAACCTCATGTGGCGATTTAAACCGGTTAACCTCCGTCAATGAGTTGTGTGCAACGTTTGACTTTGCTAAAGCTCGCCTCGTGTCCGATGTTTTTTTTTTACAATTATCCCCCACCCCGCATGATCATGGCACGTTCATCACTGCGGTGTTTGTGTTGTTTTACTTATTGTAAACTTACTATGAATGTCAGATCACGTTTGCAACAACAAAAACAATCCTCAATGTTGTCTCACTTGGTTCAAATGACTGCACCTACACAATACACAGTTACAGTTCATATCGTCTTGGTGGTGTTTGAAAGGAACACATGTTGCACAGCAAAAGTTAAACTTTTATGCGGTATTTTCACGAGCGCAGATGTATGATATCCCGTAAAGCAACGGCCACGTAACAAACAGGAGTCGAACCTAGGTTAGTGAAGCAGTGTTGTTGTCAGATCCGGAATGGAAACATACCAGGGTGTAAACCAACCAAAAAGCCCCTTTATGAGATCCTTAACTTGACTGACATGTGTTTTGATAAAACTATGCTTTCAAATGTTCCAGACATTGACGAAACAACCTTAAAACTATATACAAATATATGCACCCCACCAAGAAAATATACTGCACATGATGAGGTTAAGGGATTTAAAACACCGCACTTTAAGCGTTTTCACACCAAAAAGAATTAAATAAGTATGGGAAACCTTTATATTTGGGAGGTAAACCCGAATATAATCTGTCATAGTTGCCTCTTAAGCCTTAAAGCTGAGAAATAAGACTTTATAGCAAACAGAAGCCAGACATTTCTAAAGAGGAGGGGGGGGGGGGGTCCACCTACGGTTTAAATCACATTTAAATTAACTACAATAAACAGCGTTGGTATTTGTCGTAGCTACGATTGTATTTTAGCGCGTGTGTGTGTAGTATAAGTAGTTATTTACACACAAGCCGTGTCTGCAATGCGTCAAAGTGTTGGCGCCATTAAATACATTATTTATTCGCAAGCTTCCTCGACGGCACTCACTCTTCTCTCTATCATCATATTATATAGCGACGCATTGCCCACATAGTGAACATTCCATACATAGCGGTCAGCATATTCCGCGTGTGCAGCATTCCGTTGTTATGAATCGTTCCATGCGCACAGGGGTGCATTGTTTATGCATTTTAAGTCGTACGTTATTTACATAGGATACTTTATATATTATAGAATGTAATAACACCTTACATCGGTGTACGGTACTATGTCTAATATGTGTGTGTATATCGAGATTGATGTGGTATGTGTCTCTTGATTGCTGCGTAGCGGATATGTTGTTATATTGCAATGGATACAGAGCGAATTATTTATGCAGGTTGTCATGGACTACAATTTGAAACCTTTCTGCTAGTATTGTGCATCTTCTTGGTTCTTTCGGTAAAGTCACGTGACTTTACCGAAAGAACCAAGAAAATGAATCCCTGCAGTCACGAAAGCTTTAAATCGAAATTTAGTATTGTGCAGTTTATTTGCAGGTTTACTTTGTCTATTCCGGTTCAGATAATCGCCCTTAGCCCATCGTTGCAGCCCAAAACAAAAAACAATGTCGTCACGTGGACGGCAAGGGATGAGATGAAGGAATATTACAAACAATACACTTCAACAACAACAACACGACACACGTGCAGGACACCTACACCCCACTTGAAATCTCACAATGGATAACTAAATGACAAAGGGGAACAATAAAGCAAATCATTGTGTCGTGGTAAATTTGACGATGATGTGTGCTGTGTGCAACGTTTGTGGAATATAATTGGCATTACTCGCTGCTGCGAGGCAATTAAACCCCAGCAGCCACTAATTGGGGCTTTGAACAGAACTTGAATCTTAAATAAACTTGAAGAGGGCCAATGTGAGATGCGAGTTCGAGCCAACCCTTTGCGATTCGGTTTCCCGACTACATTCTGTGCGTGCACATGTGCTGCTTTCTGTACAAGTGTGATACATTGCAGCTATAAAACTTTACGTAATTTTCTCTGCTAATGTGATCATCAATATATGGTCATTCCATATCACGATTACAAATCACGTGGCATGCAACAGGTTTCGTGTATGCATTGGATTTCAATAAATTCAGCGCAGTCATTAACGTTTTATAAAGCATTTCATGGCTTCATTTGAAAAGCAATAGCCCATTTCAACGACAATTTTCTTACAATTAATCAATTAGGTAACCTGCACGAATCGCACAAGATAAAATGTGCAGTGGAATGATTGGCGTGGTGAAAGGTGCATTTAAACAAAATATCAAACCGTTGATTTAAATTTCCATTTGTATAAAACATGCTTATGAGCACAATTTTCCCTTGTTTAAATATCTATATTATGTGCGCCGTACTTGTGACAATCGTGCTCAAGTCTTACATGGGGCCGTCAGAAAAGTAATGGACTCTGGCTCATGAATTAATGTTGCTACTTAATCGGTCGTGGGAAATGTGGTATATATCTGCAGCTGCTATTTTAATACACGAATGCGTTATCAACGTTCAGCTTGCCTCTGCTGTGGACGTGACAACGTGCCACACAATTAGTTATGACCCGATCGTCGGGAAATCATTTCGACAAGGTGTCCTCATACCAACAACACGTTTGAACTGCATAATGAGGTCAGGAATTTCATCCTTTTTGCAAGTCTGCGTTAAAGGCCTGGGGCGCGCGCATGTGTACATGATGTTTTAGCGCCCCCTGCCAAACGGTGTTGGTATGTTTGTAGAATGTGTTAGTGTGAAATGTTCCGCATAACCAAATTGGTGTTTAAGTTTCAAGTATATTTCGTTGAGCCGGGTGAGAGAACTCAAGACACCACGAAAGTTTGAATTTGCAAGAGTGGCCATGGTCACCAACATGACCAAGGTAAGACGAATTAAAAGAATTTCAGTTAATAAAATAAAGTAGAGCAAACTCCAGGGTTCAAAAAACGCAAGAGTCCATACGTTCTGTGCCAAGCAACTTTATTCGGTGACAGCAGTGAATGCTGGCTACTTGTTAATAGACATGGGAATAGTGTAGCTGTTTTAACTGTGAATTTTGGCTATCCCTTGCTATTAACAGAATTCCTCAAGAATGTAGCCTCAGTTGCACCCCAGTCTCCAATGTGAGACCAATGTGAGACGTGGTTCGCCCTTGATGTTAATTGGATTCCAGCACAGTTGAGTAGTCGCACAAATCACATTTCAATTCACGAATACACGATTGTATTCCATAAGAGGCAAACTCATTGCCCCGGTTATTTTATTTAAGAGGTGAAAGTGACCCAGAGCTCTCTATTTGTTCAATGCAAATCTTTACTCTGATGAACGCGCTGAAGTTAACAGATAGGATCGTTTTTTTTTTCTTAAATTTCGATTTAAAGCTTTCGTGACTGCAGGGATTCATCTTCTTGGCTCTTTCGGTAAAGTCACGTAGAAGGGAAATAATAAAATAATAAAACATAATAAAATGCAATTCTCACGACGTTTCGGCCACAACGCAAGCAGCCGTCCTCATGTGAAGAATAGGTCTGTCGGAAAGACTGCAAACATTCTCACGTTTCGGCCACAACGCAAGCAGCCGTCCTCGGGTGAAGAACAGCGTCTTTCCGACAGACCTGTTCTTCACCTGAGGACGGCTGCTTGCATTGTGGCCGAAACGTCGTGAGAATTGTATTTTATTATGTTTTATTTTTATTCTTTTATTACTTCCCTTCTGCGTGACTTTACCGAAAGAACCAAGAAGATATTTTTTTCTTCTGGATATTTTTTTTTTATTCTGATGTTTTGTATGTTTAACAAACTACCTCAATGAGAGGCAGGGACAGAAGAGACAGGAAGAGAAACACATCGATTAGAAAGTTGCATAAATCATTTTGAATGTAAAACAAAACCTAAGTTGGTTTTGGGCATAACACATAACTATAAGGGAAAAATGCCTGTTGTCAAGAATAACGACATAACGACAGCAACAGAGGGAAATGATGTCCACTGCAGAGATGGAGTATTGAGACCAGCGTATGTGTAAGTACATGGTTGAATCAATAAGGACTCTGAGGGATGGAAACAACTTCGAGTGGTCTTCACCCAGGAGTTTATAGATAATGGCTGATTATGAAGACCTTAGGGGAGTCGAAGAAAAGAAAGTATATAAGAACTATTGCGCATGTATTAAGCGTGTTCTATACAGAATGAAAATAATTCACATTCTGAATTAAATAATGCATACGGATTAGAACCATGTTAATACGTCACATGCACCGTGTGTGTTATTATTGAAGCTATTAAAGAATTGGCAGGCAAATACAGTACTTCTATTCAGTTTGTCAAACTGCATGTATCAAACTATTTCTGTAAATAATATAGACATTCATCCCCTGGGTCATAATTATCTAAACATATTATAACATTCGTCCAAGTGTCTATTTTTAAAGTTGAAGTTGTTTTTTGACCTCTGTGCACACAACTCTCACATTTATGGTTGTTTATTGTTTGCTTAATTCTGCAAAACTTACCCATGTGTGAAATTTGCAGTGCCGGTCATTAAAGTGCATTACTCTGCCTGGGGCGTTTTCGCAGAGGTGAGGTCATTTCATTGGCCACCCTTCTGCAGTTTTTCCAGATGGGCGCGTAGGCAAGCCAGTGGCTCCTGGACCTATGGGGACACAGCTGGACTGTAGGAATCAAGACGGTGGAACACAAAGCTGAGCCTGAATTGTGAGACAATTCGTTGAACTCTGGAACAATCACCTGGACTTTAGCCATAACTCGTGGCTGGAACTGTGAGAAACTCAGCTGGACTGTGAGACACAATACTGGACTGTGGAACTAATGTTTATCCTGTAAGACGCTTAGTTGCCCTCTGGAAGACTCATCTGAACGGGGGAACATTGAGTTGAAGTGGAGAACATATGGCTGGATTGTGAGACTCAAAACTGGACTGTGGCTGTGCCATGAAACCAATTATTGGCTTCTGAGAAAGTCACCTGGACCGAGCAGCACGTGGCTGGTCTGTGGAGCACACGGCAAGCCCCAGCAGAGGGAGACAAGGAAGAGAAAGCGGGAGACAAAGACTGTGTTTGGGCAATGGGGACCCATGAGTGTTGTCGCACACGGCTGCTTCTAATCACCACATTCTTCTGGGTTTCATTTGTGCTCGTGGTCATCGGTGTGCCAGGTAAGAGGCACAACTCAAATAATATTTGACACGTGTGAAGTGCCTACATTGTTGGGGGGCATTTAAGTAGATACAGTGGTCATGGCTTTTTTTCTTTCACCAAAAACGTCACCTGTTGTTTATTATAGTCAGTTGTTGAACGATGCAAAGCTATCATAAGATTAATTTAATAATTTGTCCCTCATATAATGGGTTCGTTGTAAAGTCCAGCACTATGTGAATCTGTGTTCAGTCATAAACAGTATAATGAATAAATGCAACAACATCCCAATACGCTGTGCAGAACGAGTCCTGACAAGGAAATGTGAATGTTGTATTGCATTTTATGTAGAGCAGCTGTGATGTAAGTAGTAATTGTACTAGATCAATATACTTTTGAAGTTGCATTCCCCAAGCAGTAATTCATTATAAAGTACATGCAATATAACTAAGTAACTTTGTTGCTGTTTTAATAGCTCGCTGCGATCCCACCATTAACACAATGGAGTCTTTACACCATGTTAAAAAAACAATGGAATTCACTTTGGGGACCTCATTTGCCAGTAAAAATATGATAATTGGTTCTTTACCCTTCTTATCATATTTTTACTGGCAAATGAGGTCCCCATAGTGTAGATGCTTGCCCCGAGCTCTCATACTCTGATGGTGCATTGTCCTTGAGTTGTGCGCCTTTTGGCGTCATCTGGTCCAACCCATATGAGACTAGGCTCGAAGGAAAGCTGTCTCGGGTGTGGACCAATCAACTTCAAGGACAGTGCACATTATCAGAGTTATGTCTTTTGTTTGTATTTATGACTGCAGGTATTGCGGTCTATGCAAACATGACTCCTTGCAAAAAGGTGTCAGTTTTGTTGCCAGATAGAAGGGTAAAGAACCAATTATCATATTTTTACTGGCAAATGAGGTCCCCATAGTGTAGATGCTTGCCCCGAGCTCTCATACTCTGATGGTGCATTGTCCTTGAGTTGTGCGCCTTTTGGCGTCATCTGGTCCAACCCATATGAGACTAGGCTCGAAGGAAAGCTGTCTCGGGTGTGGACCAATCAACTTCAAGGACAGTGCACATTATCAGAGTTATGTTCTTTTGTTTGTATTATGACTGCAGGTATTGCGGTCTATGCAAACATGACTCCTTGCAAAAAGGTGTCAGTTTTGTTGCCAGATAGAAGGGTAAAGAACCAATTATCATATTTTTACTGGCAAATGAGGTCCCCATAGTGTAGATGCTTGCCCCGAGCTCTCATACTCTGATGGTGCATTGTCCTTGAGTTGTGCGCCTTTTGGCGTCATCTGGTCCAACCCATATGAGACTAGGCTCGAAGGAAAGCTGTCTCGGGTGTGGACCAATCAACTTCAAGGACAGTGCACATTATCAGAGTTATGTTCTTTTGTTTGTATTATGACTGCAGGTATTGCGGTCTATGCAAACATGACTCCTTGCAAAAAGGTGTCAGTTTTGTTGCCAGATAGAAGGGTAAAGAACCAATTATCATATTTTTACTGGCAAATGAGGTCCCCATAGTGTAGATGCTTGCCCCGAGCTCTCATACTCTGATGGTGCATTGTCCTTGAGTTGTGCGCCTTTTGGCGTCATCTGGTCCAACCCATATGAGACTAGGCTCGAAGGAAAGCTGTCTCGGGTGTGGACCAATCAACTTCAAGGACAGTGCACATTATCAGAGTTATGTTCTTTTGTTTGTATTATGACTGCAGGTATTGCGGTCTATGCAAACATGACTCCTTGCAAAAAGGTGTCAGTTTTGTTGCCAGATAGAAGGGTAAAGAACCAATTATCATATTTTTACTGGCAAATGAGGTCCCCATAGTGTAGATGCTTGCCCCGAGCTCTCATACTCTGATGGTGCATTGTCCTTGAGTTGTGCGCCTTTTGGCGTCATCTGGTCCAACCCATATGACACTAGGCTCGAAGGAAAGCTGTCTCGGGTGTGGACCAATCAACTTCAAGGACAGTGCACATTATCAGAGTTATGTTCTTTTGTTTGTATTATGACTGCAGGTATTGCGGTCTATGCAAACATGACTCCTTGCAAAAAGGTGTCAGTTTTGTTGCCAGATAGAAGGGTAAAGAACCAATTATAACAATGGAATTGAGACATAAATTGCGTCTTGGAGTACCACTTATGTTTCCACCATGTAGTTTACTTTTAATCGTGTTCACCAGTACGGCATATTGTCAGGGAAATGTAGTCACTAGAATAAATCCACTCCATCATTTTACAGTCAACATGTATACATGACCATGTACTTTGTAATTCTGCATGTGTGTGTTGTGCACTCGGGTGCACTCCACTTTGAACCAGACTACCCGAGTTACATTCACCAACTCCGCACTGAAACCACAAAGTGCAGTATGGTCAAACAACCCCATGACTGACATGGTGTGTGGGGAGGCTTTTACCCTGCAGAGAATTGACAAAGGGCTGTACATTTTTTTATATATATACACTCACACCCTAGGAATGCTACTCACTTCTTCCATGCAATGTGAAAATTATCTCACATTGCATGACCCATCGTAATGTATGACTCAGGCCATGACCACAGTGTGACTAGCACCGGTGCATTATGCACACTGCAGTTTCGTGAATGCTTCTGGCTTCTGCAGCCATGAAATGATTGTGTTGATGCTGAAGGAACTGGATGTACCATGCCTGTCACTAATGGGTTCCTCATCTCCATGGAGACCCCAGCCCCTCCGCAATCGTGGGTAGCACGCATGAACTAATTGACACACGCCGTTATCTCGTGGATAAGTACCAGACTGCGAGTCCGAGGCTAGCCGACGCAATTGTGATGCTTCATTGATAATCACAAAGCAAATAAATATAATCCTTTATATGCGTGGCGGCTAGAGTCCTCTCGTCCTCTGGCTTGAGATGGCTGCCACCTATGGGTCAGATGATTGCAGGGCAGCATTAAGTAATTGGTAATTAAATATAATATTTTTGTCCTAAAAAGTGTAAAATTTTGGAAAAAAATTTTCACGAACATTAATTGTCACGCACAACGAGTCTGTGTGGAAAATGTCAGCTCGATTGGATCACGGGAAGTGGGTTAAAGAACGACCGAAAAATTTGCACGGTCCTAAGCAAGCAAGCAAGTGAACTTAATATAAAGGATTTAAAAAAGACGTTAAAGTAATAGTCCAGCACACAGCCACTGCGTTCGAGTGCCGTAATGGGGGTACACCGGACCGTACACATTTGTTTTGGTATTTTATTTCTCTCTCTCTCGTTCGCGAATCTTCAAACTAGCGTGAAAACAACACAGCCTTCCGAAGTAACACACAGAATAAGAGCGAATCGTTTGTCTGCGAAGGGTGGGCAGGTAAGCGCGGGCGGGCGGACGGGGTTTTGCTGCGTTTCGCCCTCTGCTTGAAATCCCAGAGTATTCGCTCACGTTTTTGCGTGTGTGTTTGTGTTGTCTGTGTGTGTGTCTGTCTGTGTGTGTGTTTGTGTGTGTGTTTGCGTGTGTGTCTGTTTGTGTGTGTGTGTCTGTGAGTCTCTGTGTGTGTGTCTGTGTGTGTGTTTGTGTGTGTTTCTGTGTGTCTGTGTGTGTGTCTGTGTGTGTGTTTGTGTGTGTCTGTGTGTGTGTTTGTGTCTCTGTGTGTGTTTGTGTGTCTCTGTGTGTGTGTCTCTGTGTGTGTTTGTGTTCGACTCTGGGCCACTCCAAAGACGACGAGTGCCCGGACACCAACCCGGCGAGCGAGACCTGCGAGTACGACGAGGTGTGTGACGAGGCGCGCTGCAAGTACAACGAGTACGCCACCTGCCACCCCAACCGCTGCGGCACCTGCGAGGCGGTGTTCCGCACCTACGACCACGCCATGGTGAACTGCACCCGGCGTAAGACGCGCACGTGCGCAACCTGAATGAGGCCACGCGCGGTGCCTGTACAGCCAACCCCCCCCCCCCCCCGTGTCATACTCTTCGGTTTTTTCGGTAAAGTCACGTAGGTAAAAATAAATAATAATAAAAATAGAAATATAAAAAATAGAAATAAAATAATAAATCACGACGTTTCGGAGGCAACACAAGTAAGTCTCCGTCATCAGGTGGGAACGTCACAGCTATATTTAGTGTATCAAGTGAGGCAAAATTCCAAGAGACAAGCTCTTAAATACAAGTGGAGGGGGGAGGGGCTTATCTGAATGTGATAGCCAATGAATGGAACGTGTTGGGGGGGTGGGCGGGGCTAATATAGAACAATCGGTGCACTTGGGGTTGTAACCGGTGTTGGCTGACAATCCAAATACACAAAAGGCAGTGCTGTTAAACGCTGGGGATGTCAACACTCGGTAAAGTAGAATAGTACCTGTCAAATAAGATGGTACAAATATATATGTAGTTAAATATTTTTTTACATGGTCAATAAAATCTTTCCAATGATTACTCAGTTTGTACCCATCATCACGGTTGAAGTGATGTCTGTGTTTGTATATCTGGATGGCTTCGTGTACAAACCTTTGATTACAGGCCATACCCAGACCCCTCGTTGGTCAGCACCGCAACGTTCATCCTACGAAGTTCCATCGCAAGAGAGAAACGTAAACGAATTGTTTTCTATATTATTGGTTCTTTCTTTAAAGTCACGTAGAAGGGAAATAATAAAATAATAATTAAAAACATTTTTTGGTGTGGTTTTCACACCTGATGATGATTGCTTGTGTTGCAATCGAAACGTCGTGAGAACTTTGTTTTATTTTTATTATTTCCCTTCTACGTGACTTTACCGAAAGAACCAAGAATATGAATCCCTGCAGTCACGAGAGCTTTAATCAGAATTGTTTTCTGTGTCCGTATTGAAAGGGCTGGACGCCGTTTGGACCTGAAAACGAAATTTCCCTGTACAGGAATACGGGTAGATCGTATGGGTTGACAGGTGTGCACTATACACTACACCAGGGACGTGCGGTCAGGGGAGGCAGAGCCTTACCTGTCATACTCCAATGAAGTAGCTGTTACGAAAAGTAAAAAAAAAGAACAATGAAAAAAATATTGAGATCTTCCCACTGATTTGTGTTATAAATGTCATTTCTGTAAGATTCCAATCATTTTATAGTCAAAATCGCCAAATTTGCGGAGCTCCACTGCAAATACAGGAAGAGACGAGAAGTGAGGCAGCGACGAGCTCAGCCTCCCCTCTGATTGCGCAACACCTCAGTAACTGGATGTAATGTTTGTAGACCCCATCATTTCATGTCCTCGCCTTCCATACTCCAGGTAACTTATTTCACGTATGTGTATAAAGATATTTAGGTTCGCTGGTCTCGTCATGAAACTGCAATGAAAAAGCACCAGGGGAGGCAGCTATCACATCTGCCTCACTGAGGGGGACGTGTCTAACACGCCCCCCTCAGTGAGGACACGCCCCCATCCGTGAGGCCACGCCCCCTCGGTGTGTGAATCTGGCTCTGACACGAGCCAGTGCCTCCCCAGCCATTGACCTCACCGCACGTCACTGCACTACACTACTATACCACTACACTACTACACTACTATACCACTACACTACTATACCACTACACTACTATACCACTACACTACTACACCACTATATCACTACACCACTATACCACTACACTACTATACCACTACACTACTATACCACTACACTGCTATACCACTACACTGCTATACCACTACACTGCTATACCACTACACTGCTATAGCACTACACTGCTATACTGCTACACTACTACACTGCTATACCACTACACTACTACACCACTATACCACTACACTACTATACCACTACACTACTATACCACTACACTATTATACCACTACACTATTATACCACTACACTACTATACCTGTCAACCCCTTGTCAGTGCCTGCCTTATTACAGACCAATTCAGACCTAATGGGTCACCCCGTGCCCGTATAAATCTCAACGTTCATCCTACAAAGTCCCATCGCAAAGAGAGAAACACAAACAAATTATCATTAATGCCCGTATTGAAACGGTTGTACGCCGTATGGACCTAAAAGCCCAATTTTCCCTGTACAAGAATACGGGTAGACCGTATGGGTTGAGAGGTATGCGAATGTCGTGTCGTGCTGCTTTGGAGGGCAGAAAGGTTGGCGGGTGGCCAGGGCTAACAGGGCTCAGCCCACATCAAACCCATGGCACACCAGGCGCGCATGATTCAAACACAGCCGAGGCACAGTGCAATCTCCTCTCGGAGCCGGATTCGACGAGCAAAGTGCGTAGTGTCATCGCGGGCAGAGCGTGCCGTAAGTAGTAAGACTGATGGCGATTGGTTAACCCGTGTAAAATAAACACATTAGTGTAACTGGGTCGGCCACGGTGCACATTGCTAGATGTTAAGGGTTTTATTTTTCTTTGGCCATGTAATTAAATTTATTTGCATGCGTGTGTTTTGAACTTCTTTCACACCATACATAACCAACCGTGCGAATTCAGACAATGTCCAAAAACGAGACTGCGCAAAGTCACGGAGCAGGTAGTGGATTGACACAATAGGTGAACCCGTGCCCTTGGGTGTTTCAGTTACCACGTGACCTGTATCACCTCCGATTAGCACGGTTGATCACGTACGGTGCGAAAGAAGTTCAACATACATAGACGTTCTAGATTTGAAGCTTTCGTGACTGCAAGGATTCATATTCTTAGGTTTTTTCGGTAAAGTCACGTAGGTAAAAAATTAAAATTAATAAAAGTAAAATAAAAATAAATAAAAATCACGACGTTTCGGAGGCAACACAAGCTTCCTTCTTCAGGTGGAACCGTCACAGCACGATAGCTGTATCACTTGATATCTGTATCACTTGATATCTGTATCACTTGATACAGCTATCGTGCTGTGACGGTTCCACCTGAAGACGGAAGCTTGTGTTGCCTCCGAAACATCGTGATTTTTTATTTATTTTTATTTTACTTTTATTAATTTAAATTTTTTACCTACATGACTTTACCGAAAAAACCTAAGAATATACATAGACTTACCACTCTTGTTTGTGGACATTCATTTATATAAAAAAAGAAAAAAATTATTGAGATTTTTTTTCTATTTCAGCCTTTGAAAAATGCACTTCAGCCCTTGTAGAATGTTTTCACCTGCTACTTATTCTGTAGGGTGGATATTTCAATCATAGCCCTGGTGGCAGTGGAGACAGCACACGTGCTCCAGGATCCTTGGGCCTACCTCTCCACTCTCACTACAATGCCCTTTAAGTACACTATACTCTTGCACCGTACGCCTCTTCGTGAATTCCAAAATCATCCTCCAAACAGTGGGAGGCCTCTGATGTCCCCTTGATGTTTGTAATTCCACGCCCTGCACTCACCTGCGTGTGCACACGGTGTGCACGCGCTTGTGTTCCGAGTTCGATATCCCGAGTTCAGTCCCCGCTCACGGCCAACACCGGTGACGATTATCTGAATCGGTCCTGGGGGCCTCCCCTAGGCCGACTCAGCCTCAAATGAGTACCTGGTGCGATGATGTCTAAACGTCGCCACTAGGGAGACAAAGTCGGCCGGCCATGCGTGATGTTCTCCACCCACACCCCGGTCGTGTGCCGTGCCAGCCTACATAGGTGCTGCTCACAAAAAGCTCTTGCCCCAAAAAGTCTGTTTAGGCTACACGGTGGTGGGGGGAAGGCGGTGGTGGTTGGGGGGGATCTTTGTCTTCTTCGTCCTTTGCAGTGACCCCCAAGTGTCGCCTCATGCACCTGGAGATGCTGCACAACCGACAGAGCGCGGCGGGGAGCAGCGCCAGCGACGAGGTGTGGGACCTCGTCGACCTGGACGAGCCCTTCGAGCCCTCCTGCCACTCCAATGGCTCGTTCCAGTCCAAGCAGTGCGACAGCGACTCGGGGCTCTGCTGGTGTGTGGACAGCGCCGGCGTCCGCGTCACCGACAAGAAGGTGGACGGCCCGCAGTGCGTGCGCCTCGTCCAAGTGCAGTAAGCGTTGCCTACTGGCCCCAGATAAAAAAACAAAATTATGGATTTTTCTAATTCTGCTTCATACACGTGCCGTGACGATTTATGATAATAACCCTGTGCGCAAAGCGTGGAACGGTGTTATGATTGTGGACTTATCAATGCCCCTACGTGTGCATTTGTCCTACCTACTGGATGATGACGGCCTCTCCACGCCGTGCGGGTCGTCGGGATTATTTGACCACACTTCTTTCGCGCTGCTCTGTGCGGATTAATGAAGTTGGGGATTATAGACGTGGCTGCATAGAGTGCAGTCTAACACTATCATTGTCTACACTCCCCTCTGCTAACCAGTGTAGCAACAGCCCTGCAAACGCTCATGAGAACCTGGCATGCACAGCGATCATCCATCCAAGCACGCTATCCAGACTCAACCCTGCTTAGTTTCCGAGATCTGCACTTAAGCAAGTGCAATACGGGATGAAGATCTAGTAAAAAATACAGGGTATTAATCTGTTATATTTGTAATTGGTCTACTGTGAGGTTTTAATTTGGTACCCTTCAAAGTAGTTTTCTTCTACACGAATACATCGCTGCCAGCGATTGAGGGTTGCTTTGTGGAACAATCTTGTAAGCCTCCGCGCAAGAAGTATATTAGTTGCCTCATGGTGTTCTTAAAAGTCCAGAACATTCTCAAAATAAGTTCCTTTCGAAGTGCATCTTATACACTGCCCTCTCTGCATGGTGCACTTTCAACACGACAATTCACATGTTGTCAAACTCATGCATACAGGGCCTGCTTGCGTCATCATTGCCCTGCTGGATCACACTACCGAGTGTACACAAACTGGTAATGGGATACAAATGATCTTTGGTCAAATTAAAAATAAAACACCATGTGTAGAATTTCAATTACAAAAAAAATCACCAAACCAGATTATTCACTGAACCTTGCATTTCGAATAACAATGGTGGTAAGAGTAGTAATTGTCAATTCCTTATTACACACGTACACATTATACAAATTGTTGTGAATCATAACAATGGTGGTGGTGATGACAGTCTCATACAGATTGACTTGGAGTTTCGAGATGACACGAACAAAATTATTCTGGGGAGAACACCTGAACTAAAACGGTATTGCTGCAGTCACATGCCACACCATCATTTACTCACGTTACGTCGTACTAAGCTGTTTGATGATGCTGTTTAGGATTTTCTATTCGTATTCACTGTGTGTGATTATCCCCACTTACGCAGACGAGTGGCAGAAATGATGGTGAGAGAATACACGATTAAGAAGAGCCAGATTGTAGAAATAAGCGTAAGTTTAATGTTTCTCTACACTCCGAATGTTTTTAAAATCACTAATGCCACAGTTTATCCTAGAGATTATGTTCGCAGTGCAGCTGTTAGACATGCAGCCGTATACATACACACGCTAATATGAACACGATTCTGTCCAAAGGTGAAGGAAACCCAACTGAAGGTGTCCATCAAGATCAGTGAAAACAACACAAAGGAGCCTGTGGACATCGCGACTGTGGCATACTACGTGGAACGGGACGTAAGTGACGATAAATACAACTCGAAGTTTTCCTTCAGAAGAATAATCTAGGACTGGGCTATCTGACTGTGTCAGAGGATGTCTTGGGTGAAGTAAAGGGAAACAACCTCGTGTCTCAAGAAGTTGCTCAAGAGGGGTGATGACAGTGGGGAACCAGTGAGGAACTCACAGAGGAAGAAGTAGAAAAATCAAACAATAAAACATCGAATTAGGCCAGGTTCAGTGTAACGACGAGCTTAAGATTGTCGCCATGCCTTAGTCTTACACAACAAAAGTTTTTTGCTATGAATTCAGCGAGGCGGATTTGATTCCGCACAATGGTTAACATGAGTGGCGAGTGATATCTAAACCGGCCCTGGGCCTCAATTGGGTCGATATAACCTCATCTGGGTACCTGGTGCCTCAACTGAGCATCTGCTGCCTCCCTTGGGTCGATAGAACCTCAGCTGAGTACCTGGCGCCTGCCTTGGGTCGATAGAACCTCATCTGGGTACCTGGTGCCTCCCTTGGGTCGATAGAACCTCAGCTGAGTACCTGGCGCCTCCCTTGGGTCGATAGAACCTCAGCTGAGTACCTGGTGCCTCCCTTGGGTCGATATAACCTCAGCTGGGTACCTGGTGCCTGCCTTGGGTCGATAGAACCTCAGCTGAGTATCTGGTGCCTGCCTTGGGTCGATAGAACATCAGCTGAGTATCTGATGCCTGCCTTGGGTCGATAGAACCTCAGCTGAGTATCTGGTGCCTGCCTTGGGTCAATAGAACATCAGCTGAGTACCTGGTGCCTGCCTTGGATCGATAGAACCTCAGCTGAGTACCTGGTGCCTGCTTTGGGTCGATAGAACCTCAGCTGAGTACCTGGTGCCTGCCTTGGGTCAATAGAACATCAGCTGAGTACCTGCTGCCTCTCTTGGGTCGATAGAATCTCAGCTGAGTATCTGGTGCCTGCCTTGGGTCGATAGAACCTCAGCTGAGTACCTGGCACCTCCCTTGGGTCGATAGAACCTCAGCTGAGTACCTGATGCCTGCCTTGGGTCGATAGAATCTCAGCTGAGTATCTGGTGCCTGCCTTGGGTCGATAGAACCTCAGCTGAGTATCTGGTGCCTGCCTTGGGTCGATAGAACCTCAGCTGAGTACCTGGTGTCTGCCTTGGGTCGATAGAACCTCAGCTGAGTATCTGGTGCCTCCCTTGGGTCGATAGAACCTCAGCTGAGTACCTGGTGTCTGCCTTGGGTCGATAGAACCTCAGCTGAGTTCCTGGTGCCTGTCTTGGGTCGATAGAACCTCAGCTGAGTACCTGGTGCCTGCCTTGGGTCAATAGAACCTCAGCTGAGTACCTGGTGCCTCCCTTGGGTCGATAGAATCTCAGCTGAGTACCTGGTGCCTGCCTTGAGTCGATAGAACCTCAGCTGAGTACCTGGTGCCTGCCTTGAGTCGATGGAACCTCAGCTGAGTACCTGGTGCCTGCCTTGAGTCGATAGAACCTCAGCTGAGTACCTGGTGTCTGCCTTGGGTCGATAGAACCTCAGCTGAGTACCTGCTGCCTCTCTTGGGTCGATAGAACCTCAGCTGAGTACCTGGTGTCTGCCTTGGGTCGATAGAACCTCAGCTGAGTATCTGGTGCCTCCCTTGGGTCGATAGGGCCTCTCAACTGAGTACCTGGTGCCTCCCTTGAGTCGATAGAACCTCAGCTGAGTACCTGGTGCCTGCCTTGGGTAGATAGGGCCTCTCAACTGAGTACCTTGTTACGGTGTCTAAACATCAGCACTGGAGCAACAGCAAAGGTGGCCCGGGTGAGGTCCAGTAGGCCACGCCGTGCCGTACACGCCTCGCCAGGTGGGCGCTCGCTAACGGAATCTTGGCCCAGCAGTGCGCGCACAGGCCGCTCAGTGCGTTGGTCGCCTTCGTCTGGTCGCGCCGAGCAGGTGAAGCGCAACGTGCTGCCGCTGGTGGTGGCCGGACACCGTCTGGAGCCGCGCGTCGTCCTCGTCCTCTACTTCGACAACGAGGCCCCGCGTATCAACATGAAGAGCGTGTTCCCTGGCGTGGCGGCCATCATCATCGTCATCGCACTCGCCGTGCTCACCGGAATATCCGTGTTTGTGAGTCTAAGTGGTCATCGCTGTCATTCACCATCATCATCATCATCATCAGAGTCTTCTTATTCAAGGACATGGAAATGTCAATTAAACAATTTGTTTTATTTTAGCAGGTAAGGCCCACCGAGCTGCATAGCTCTTTTACAGAAGCGACCTGGCCACAAGTGATAGCCCAGCGAAGTGGCCTATCGCGTGGAAATTTCTAGCAGCCAAGTACATTAAACGCGTGTTTTTAAATGTGGAGAGAAAAACCGGAGGACCTGGAGAAACATCCACCCGATTACGGAGAGAACATGCAAACCCAAATATACAGCAGGCGTCAGCGTCGGGGTCGACCCACAACATTCTGTATACCAAGCGAGGTAGCTGACATATCAGGAGAAACGTGAATATGCCGAACTGCTTCTTCCTGTAGCCTTTATCGACCACCAGTGGCTCCTCATCATAATGCACACGCAGCTACTTGCTCCCCCAACTCCGAATGTGTCTCTATGTCCCTGATCACAATGATACAAGTGGATAACTTGTATTTATTTTGCGTCTAAATGCGACCGTATCTCAAGACAGTACAGACACAGTGAGCACATTTATTTTGTAGACAGGTAGGAAGTCACGCGCTTGCAGATGCGCTTCTGTGGCCGTCTGGAACGCTTTCCATTTTTAAATCAAGATTGAAAACTAATGTATTTAGGACTGCGTTTTGTGTTCTTCCCCCGCACCTCCGATTAACACGGTTGGCTACGTACGGTGCGAAAGAAGTTGAACGTACATACAGAAGAGGAAGACCTTGAGCCTGCGGCTTGAATAGAAGCAGGAAGTCAAAAGTACCAGATGGCTGGGGGAAGGAAGTTACAGACTGGGGGCAGCAGAGGAGAATGACTGACCTCCCACAATCAGCTCCACCGGCATCCAACGTATAACATTCGACATGTAAAAATGCAACAATGCACTAATTAAAAATCTAGTTTTACCAGCACGATACGTGGATCGAATCGTCCATGTAAAAATGTATTGTTTTTTATTCATGTACGTTGTGTGTAATTGATTCACTTGACCTCAACAGCCACAAGAGGCACAATATAACATCAAAACGTTCTTGAAATGAATGGAAACCATGAATTGTGACAACTCATTGAACTGCAAGGGACTGAATCGTTCCATGCCCAATAATTATCATCGTCATCGGTAGATGTCATTGTGATGCACACCACAAACCCATCAACTTATGTGGACGGTTGATGGATCGCTCAGAGAATTAGCATGATTAGTGTGATCAGTTTGTTAGTCTTGTGCATTGGCTACATGGGCTGGAAGAAATAAGGATATCCATATTTCTCTTTGATGAACACAATCATTAATCTATTTTGGAACAATGAGGATGTTTTCATATTTTCCTTTCATTTCAGGTTGTTGTCACGCGGCGATCACAGGAGGAGAAGTACAGGGTGTACTTCATCGAGGTAATATTGAACCATAATGAACCAAAGACAGATAAGCATTTGTACATAATTAACTTTTGAATATGTCACACTTATAAATTATTTAACATAATTGTATGCATTGTACCATCAAAAGTGCATTATGTCCCTTCCCTTCTATGCAGTGATGGTGTCGAGTTTGTGATTGTCAGATTCGATTAATATCTGGCATCAAAGCTCCAGCTATAATGCATTATTTGTGTGTCGTTTGTTTTTAAATTCAACCAGGAAGGGCAGGAGATGGTGGAAAGAAGAGAAGGAAGCTTGGAAATTGAATAATGCTTCAACGCTGAACACTCAAATGCTACAATAAGTTATTCTTACCAAAATTGTGTGCAAAATAGTACCATCTTCCCCAACACGATTTCCCCTTTTTTAAATCCTTTATATTAAGTTCACTTGCTTGCTTGCTTAGGACCGTGCAAATCTTTCGGTCGTTTTTTAACCCACTTCCCGTGATCCAATCGAGCTGACATTTTCCACACAGACTCGTTGTGCGTGACAATTAATGTTCGTGAAAATTTTTTTCAAAAATTTTACACTTTTTAGGACAAAAATATAATATTTAATTACCAATTGCTTAATGCTGCCATGCAATCATCTGACCCATAGGTGGCAGCCGTCTCAAGCCAGAGGACGAGAGGACTCTAGCCGCCACGCATATAAAGGATTTATAGTGAAAAACTTTGTTTTTACGGGTTATACTTGTTTTTACTCACAATCAAGCAAAGAAAAGATGTTGGTTTAACACGTAGGCTTCAATTTAACACGTAGGCTTATGGACGTAGGCTTTCACGACCAATATTATCCATAATCGAGGTTTTTGGGTTAGATCACGTAAATATAAATGTGTCGTTAAACCAGCCAATTCGATGTGTCAAGTAAAACATGGGAATCTGTTACGAGTTCGTTACGAGTTCAGCACACTGGTGTGTTGGAGAGTAAACCCACAACATTTACATTGTGGTGTGCTGAACTAGTGACGAATTGCCATGTTTTGTTTATATGTGTTATTACCCATTATAGTCCACAACAGTATATATTGATTATATAATAGAATACTATTTACTTATTTATCTATCTAAGAAAGCACCCAGTCCCAAGACTCTTGTTCAGGAGGGTCCAGCATTGGGACGTTTGGCCCACTCAAATTATACTTTGTTTTTAGCTGTGGGAGGAAACCCACGCAGAACAGGGTGAGAACTTACAAAATCAAATGGCTGATTTGTAAAAATGTATATTGCATTAAAGCGGGCCCCATCATTTAGGCATAGTACATGCCAATCACATCCGGCAACCATAATCAGAATATGTTTAACAAGCCTGACTCCGCTAATGAGATCCATAATGTAAAACACTTTTCCAGAATGTGCTTGCTTAAACAATGCTGCTCGCTGATATTGATCTGGAAAGCGAATAGGCCAATAGGCAATAGACTACAACACATTTTATTGAATGTGGAGACAGAACGGAGGTTTGTTTATATATGTTATTACCCATGATGTTCCACAAAACAATGCCAAATTAGTTTCCAAAAATAACATTGAAGTCATACAAATATCAAATGTCGATCACTAAACTGTGACTGCATAAGAAACACTGGCTTAACGTGTTGGTAGTAACCTGTACAATATATTTAGGGGGATTAAACAGTTACCTCCTACCTCCAAGCCATGGGCCAGAGCAGACATTAGTACTACCTAAGGCAGACACACTTTAGTCGTGCCAATTTATTTCTATGGCTAACGAGAGTTCATTACTCGGTAACCTCGCTCATTATAAATTCCACCACATCTCCACTGTTGTTGGCTGCGTCGATAAATGGGAACCGCTCGGAGTTGCGTCACCTTCGATGGTACCGACAAGTGAAATATCTGGTGTGGACTCAGGGACGATGTCCCTTTTATAGATATGTAGTCCATAGATAGGAGGTCATTGTTTGTCAGTCGCTGCACAAGACTGACTACGTTATAATTGGTGTCTTTTAACTTGTTGTGTGTTAAAGTCGACGCCTAGTCGGGCGAGCGGTAGTGTAGCGGCTCCCGCTCACGGCCAACACCAGCGACGATGATCTGAAATCGGTCCTGGACCTCTCCTAGATCGACTCAGCCTCAAATGATGACCTGCTGTGGGGTGTAAACATCGCAACTGGGGAGGCGACAAAGGCGGCTCTCGCCGCGGCGTTGGCCACCCATCCCCTCGTGTGCCGCCTTTGTCTTCATAGGTGCTCCTCGCTAATAGCACTTGCCCCAATAGTATGTTAAGGCTATATGGGGGATCTTTGTCTATTGTCACCCACAGTCAACGTCAGTCGCCGGTGGCTACAATTGTGTCTGGTGCTCACCAGTGATCTGTCTGCGTTAACACAAATATGTTCAGAAAATGGGAAGTTGAAGAGAGGTGCCCTCCTTCACGAGCAGCTGAGAATGTTTTTTTTAATGATGAGGTTATGGACAAGAGGAATTCTGTAAGTTGAAATCTGTGCTTTAACTTGAAATCACATGCAACTCCGCAGAGTGGCAAAACACAAATGAAGCAATTGAGCAGCCACGTTGTGCTTGCCCTCGGCCGCTGCACATCAACTACAGCTGACAGCAATAGCTGCAAAAGATGTTGGGTTTATCGCAGCTGACTGTATTCCGGTTGGATCAACCCAGAGACCAGATTCCTGAAGTCCCCTCGCCACGCAAACTCGTCCACACACCCTGGCAGGAGCGGTGGACGGCCACGTGTGAACCGAGTCGTTTGACTGTTTTCTGCTTCAGCTTGGCAAAGCTGCGCGTCGGTTTTGGAGAAAATGCTTAAAAGTAAGTGTTTTTTTTAAAATGACATTTGCGATTCTTGCTCGACTGCTGTTTTGGGAAAAGAAAAAAACGGCACTGATGCGTTCGCTGCAGTAGTCAGAATCCTTAACACGAGCAATGCGGTTTCCGTGTTAGAAGTGGGAGAAATGATTTCATTATATGTAAATAAATCAGCGTTATATAGTGTTCCTTTCTCCTCGTCTCATAAACACATTTAAAAAATGAACAGTCATCCTGTTTTTGAGTGAAATAATGTTTAAATGTTTAAACGTTATTTTTGGTACATTTACACGATTGAGTTTCCAAACGAATTTAAACAAAAATATTTTGCTCGTGTGAACCAAACAGTGCCAGTAATTGGGTGGGTGGGGGGGGATGCAGTTAATGTGAGTGTGGAAACAGATAGACGTGAATCCATTGGTGATGGAGTCAAGTTGGTATCAGAACGTAGTAGTCCCTTCATACGTGGACATGGAGTGAACAATGTGCCGTTCTTTACTTTTTTTCAAAGAAATGTGCTTCTTCTTACAAAATACGCGCGCGTACGTTACATTATGCCGCACGCCAGTTTGAAAGAGTTTGCCTTAAGCTGTATATTGTTGTTGTTACACAATGCAACGAAATACACTGACTTCCCATTGTGATCAAATCAGCCGCAGTTACAATTGTACGAGTCATTTTTAACCATGAAAGTCTATGGCTTTGTTCGTCACGTGCAAAATAAAACGTGTACAAAAAATACCCAGCAGCAGAGCAAGACACACAGTATTAGCCGCCGTGAAGTTACTGATAGAGGTCTTTATAATCAGCTTCTGAGACCAGGGACGGTACAAGAAAAGAGAGATGCTTCAGCAACTCAATCCTGGGAGCGTGACCTTGTCTTAAGGGGGGCACACACACACACTCAGAGGGGGGGGGGGGGGGACAACACAGTCAATTTTAAACTTTAAACCAATGTTACACACGGAACGGAATGAGTGACGGTATGGTTTGCTTTTGTCTGGTATTGCTATCTCTCTCCCTCTCTGCTACCAACACTTTGGCAAACTTGATTTGTAATAAGACGTAGGCTTTCGCGACCATTATCATCCATAATATAGGGTGTTTTGGGGGTTAGATCGCGTAAATATAAAATGTCGTTAAACCCGTTAAACAAATCTGGCTATCGCCTGATGAAGCTAGTTGTAATTACTGGCGAAACGTCGTACTCAGATTGATTTGAAGCTTACGTGACTGCAGGAATCCGTACTCCGATTGTAAATGTTGTAGATTTGCTCTCCAACACATCGGTTAGTGCTGTACGAGTGACGAATTGGAATGTTCAGTTTACGTGACAAACCTTACTATGTCGGGTAGTGGCGGGTTTAACGACACATTTATATTTATGTGATTAAACCCAAAATAACCCTATATGATTGTCGATTTGTAATCATTTACAGTCGAGGAGTCTGAGCCTTTTACAATAGATTACATTGAGATTACATTTACATCAATCTGAAATGTAATCAGTAAATGTAATTCATGTGTAGACTATGAGGCAGAAGGCAATGATCGGAAGGATTTTAATTCTTAGTGCATTTAATTGATCCGGTTTTGCCATCGACAACTGATAGAGAGGGGATGGGTTGCTAAATGTAAAATAAGCTATTTATATTATTCCAGGTTCGTGAAGCAATGTGGCTGAAAGAGTTGTCTCTGAATCTACAGGGTCTCCAATTTTAGTGGAAACATAGGGAACACACTAACGTTTCGTTACAATCCTGAAGCTGTCTGCCTTAATCTATGTGAACGACACATCAACATTATTTGCACCTTTTTTTCTTTTTGCAAACAAGAAATAAATGCATCCTCCGTAAATTTTCACCAATCTGCAAAAAAACTACATTTATTGTTATTTAACCATGAAATGTTGTGTGACCACGTAAATGAGCCCACTTTACAAATATAAGCCCTTGGTGCATACCTTGGGAACAAACTACGCGCGCACACACACCGTTAATGGTGCCACTGGCAAAATTAAATAACCTGACCCTATCCAAACTGCTCAGGCTATGAATAAAAATGCTTTCCGGCCATTCTGAAAGGCCGGTTAAACATTAATGAAACACAAACAACTTGCACTTTCACACCTTGCACGTGACTGCATTCTGGTACAAAGTGCGCAGTGGCACGATTTAAAATGTGACCCCGCTCTGCAAGTAATTATTTCAATAACTCGGCTGCCCATTGTGGCCCAAAACATGAAATGTCGTAGCAATACCTGCCGGGGATGTGTCAGTGACGGGTGTGGCGAGGTGGTTATCGCAACCGCCCTGCGAGCCTGGCAAGCCGAGTTCTATTCCCGTTTCACGGCAGACACGGACGGCGAGGGATCCCTGAACGGGTTCCATGAGCCCGCGACCTTTGCCTTGCATTGGTCAACACGACGAAGCCTCGACAAACAGTCGCTGTGACCTACATGGCTCGAGGAGGCCTTCACCCAGCAGTCGATTGACAATGGACTTTACGTGACACGAATATACGTAGGAATTTTACTGGTAGGAACCTCCTGGTTACACCAGCCCACAGGGGATTATTGTGTCCGTTGCGCAGGGAGGGGCTGGGTGGGGAGGGAGGGGCTGGGTGGGGGGTGGGAGGGGTGGGGCTGGGTGGGGAGGGGCTGGTCACCCCGTGGTGCCCTTATAAAACTCAACGTTTAACCTACTCACGCCGGCTTGTGCCCGCCCTCACAGTCGGGCATATTTGCGGAATACACCACGCCGCCGTTGACCCTGGCCATTGACTGAGCAACCCAGCAACCCAACGTTCCTACCAGCTCCCTCCGCAGGAATGTGTTTGTACATAACCGTTGTGCAATAATTACTTTACCGTAAAATTAGTGGAAGATAGTTTGGAGAATAGAAAAAACTAAGCCGAAATATCCGGTATGTATTTGCATGTATGTTGAACTTCTTTTACACCGTACAAAGTCAAGCGTGCTAATCGAAGATGCGGGGGAATGACAACGAAATAAACAGCCTTGCAGTGGTGTCACACCTGTGTCACGACGACTTGACACACTTCTCTTGAGATGGCACTTTATTGAAGACACGTTCGCTTGACATCAGGCGGAGACCCCCACTGCAACAGCCCCGAGTCTCCCTCGCATCTCCCTTTTATATACCGACACGAGGCCACGCCCCCCTTCTCGATCATTCTCGCCGACTCTGGACGCTCGCCCCACCGGCAGACTCCACCGGCCTCTCCCGTCACCTGGCCACGCTCCCTTCTCGAACATTCCCGTAGCCACCAGTCCCTTCGCACTCACAACTGACTCCCCTGTCATTACCTCCCGTTGCCACTAGGGAATTCGCACTGCAGGCTGACTCCCCTGTCATTACCTCCCGTTGCCACTAGTCCACTCACACCGCATGCAGGCTCTATTGTCATATTACACTTGTATAATACCGTCAGACGATCCCAGTAGCCTATATCGATTAGTGCCAGGCCTAGCGATGGGACCAGGTGTGTTTTATTCAAAGCTGGATTGCTCGGCGAACGTGTACGTACATACCTATGTATGCTGAACTTGATTTGAAGCTTTCGTGACTGCAGGAATTACTCTTTGGTTCTTTCGGTAATTTTCGGCAGTACTCTATTATTTAATTTATTTTATTTCTACGTGACTTTACCGAAAGAACCAAAGAGTATGCTGAACTTCGTTCGCACCCTGCATAGCCAACCGCTGCTCATCGGAGGTGCACGTGTATTTGCATCGTTCCCCGTGGTTGTCCTTTGCTAGGCTATACAGAAACGTGATTATAACGATGTGCAGAAGCGTCGTCTCGCTCCAAGTGAAATTCCCCAGAGGCTCAAAGAGACACGGCTGGATAATGGTCTCCCCCCCTCCCCCCCCATGCTACCTCAATCAATCATGTGCCAGTTGTTTGAGCATAGTTCACCACGTGAACTATGGCCCAAGACTGGTTGAGATATCCCTCACTGCTTGATGTTAGCCATGGCCTGGAATCGAACTAAGGTTCGCCAGGCTCATAGCGCAGTTTGTTAACCACCGCGTGCCATCTCTCCATCCCCCAAGAATAGAATTACGAGATGGCAATTGGTTGGAAAGGCTAAAACCTGTGAAATGTAGCTCTGGGCAATAAATGGATAACATAGCTTGTAAGGCGTATGCACTTTGTGGTGCATGATGTGCATACATCAACATTAGTTTGTGTGTGCGTATCGCAGTTGACCAGGAAAGTGCTGACATTTAAATCTTTTTTTAGGTGGGGGGGGGGGGGGGGAGAGATCTACTTATCATATCATGTATGTCCACATGGTGTACATTTCGTAAAAAAAATCAGTTGACACGTTTTATGCTTTGAATAAATTATATTTCACACGTGGGTTTGGTGAAGGGGTCGCATAGATTGCACATTGCCTTGCAATTTGTGCAGCGTGATTTAGAGTATTGTATACTTTGGCTTTCATTTCCCCCCCTCACTATTTTCCACCGACTGTGTTGTCTGCGTCACCATCATGAGAGAAGAAGCCTTCGTTCGGATATCTCTCAGGGCAGCGCGACCCTTGGTGTTAGAGAACGGTCCACAGAAGTGGACACTACAAAGCTACTTCTGGATTCCTTCAACTGACCTCTGCCCCACACAGTAGAAGTTGGTACCTCCCCATTTGTCCTGCCCGCTGTGAGTGAAGCTCAATGTTTTGCTGGCAATCCGATAGCATTTAGCAATAGCACAGATCCAAATGTTGAGGTGGGGGGGTTGTGCAGTTGTTGGTGGCTGGGCTGAGATCATGAGCTCCCTACTCTTGAGAAGCCGGTTTAATCACAGGCGAGCTGCCTGGATTTAAACCCACGATCTCAGTATTGCCGACCCGTGTTGTGACCTCTGGCTACATCTAATTCAAACCATTCTTCATTGTGTTTTCCCAATTCCTTAACGCATATTTTCTCGCGTGAATTGTAAAACTGAATACACAAATAATTTCCACTGTATATTTGAACACACACACACCTACGACGTAGGCTTCTAAATATATTTGCGGCATTGCCTCCTATTGGCAGCTTGCTTCCCAATACGACAGTGTTCATGTTTGTTCATGCGGATATTCTAAAGGCATCTACTGTGACGATGATGTTCACTGCTTCGTTATTTTTCAGTTTCAGTTTCATGTATTAGGTGTAGCCCTGTGAGCCATGCGGCTCTTGACTCGGGTGCAACCACAACAAAACAAACACATGAACAAGAAAATCTTAAAGTGACCACACGCAACAGAAGAATCCAGGAAAAAACAGTAAAGTCTTCCAGAAAAAACACCGTATTCACGTCAGATGCTGTATAATGAA